TATATAGATCTCTATATATATATATATATATTCAGCTTTCTCATGAATCTGTCCGTAGTGGTATCCGTTGTCGACAGCACACCAGTTATGATATCCATTATTGTATAACCTAAGTACATACATTCAGCGTTATATACTCTACTCGATGCTTGAACACTCTCTGGCAAAGCTACCGAACAGCAGCTTTTCTAATTACACAACCATACTTAGAAGGAAATGAGACAACTAATTGACCAGATCTCTTCATACCGCCGTAAATCTCGATTAGCCAAAGAAGATGCTTTCCCTTCCTGGCTTTGTACTTCAGACTTATTGTCATTCTTAAGCAAACACACAGAACTTTCTGTTGCAGGCAGAACAAAAACACAAAAAATAACTCGAATGGCGAAATCATTCAGAAATCCGTTTGTTCAACATGATGTTTGTTTGTACTCTCTGATAGGCCCGCTTGTCGGCGCTGATTGTAACGTACCGCTAGCAGACGTTGTCGGCAACCCCTCCTCTTCGATAGCGAGCTGCCCCTGCGGTATGTTAATTTTCTCGGCCTTGTTATCCATCTTCGTATTCGGTGGACTGACCCTAGGCGCTACAATTGGGTTAGTTCTTCTTCCAAGCTTCATTAATGTTACGGGTTTCGCTTTCAGGGCTGGCTTAGGACTCAGCGGTGGCGCGGGTGTCCGCTGGTCAGGTTCCGAAAACATTTTCTTGAGCTTCTGAACCGATGGGGACGACGTAGTCGTAGAAGCAAGAGACAACACTGGCGACACGCTACCAATCGAGCTACGTCGTGACGAGCTCTGCTGTGCGATGACGAAAGGATCTCCGGGTGCGGCATTAAGAACGCCCTGCTGAGGTGAACTGGACGGCGTAGACGGAGTCGAGCTGCCCGAACTCAACGAACGTTCGTAATTGCGTGGAGTCGGCCTATAGTAATTAATTTTTTGCAAATCATATAAGGTACATAAATTATAATTCATCAATGTTGTTTTATTAATATTATGTTGAAATATATCAACATAAAGAGAACAATCTGAGGGAGTAACATTCTTATACGAAAAGATTCAATATAAAAAAAAGTCTTGTCATCGAGGTAAACACTAAGCACCGCGCATTGCGCCTCGAGCAATAAGCTTTTAATGCCAGTATATATATATATATATATATATATATATAAAACACCAAACCTTATTTACTAAAAGCTAACCTTGGAGATCCTTTGCGAATTGTGCACTGGTTGGACATGGCGAAGCGTTCAGCAGTGCTAAGATTCTGCGATCGGGAGTCCATTGTAAGCAAGTTACTATTTGCCGACGGGTTATCTTTGACGTCGGGCGCACCGTGTACTCCCGTTGACGTGGGGTCTATTGAGGAAGGCTGCGGTGATGGTGAATCATCTTCTTCGCCTCCGGAGGATCCTCCAGATGCAGAAGTCGGTGGAAGATCCTGCACCAGGTCAGGGGCGTCATTTTTGATCGCCCTCACCGCCGCCACCTGTACAGTTGGTTCAACAATAGCTGCAGCAATTGCTATTGGTTCAAATCTTTCGACCGCTACCCGTGCGGGGTAGATTCCTCGAACACCGCTTGTTGAGGACTCATGGGAACGCAAGCCGACAATACTGTTCTGTGAAAAGCTGTTTGTCTGCATACGCGGCTTGTGATGCTGCTCCTCAAGAAGACTGCCGCCAACAGCTGATTCGTTGCTTGCACTGAGATCGGTAGCGGTATGGGTCGCCACACCGCCATTTTCAGCTGATGCCAGACTGTTTATTGCTTGATGCAATGCTTCAGATAGGTCACGAGCAAGTTCGGCGCTTGACTCAAACGACTCTGCGTGAATAGCTCGCCGTTGAGGTAAATTGACGGGTGACTGCTGCCGACCAAACTGCAGTGGACTTTGACGACGAAGGCGCGAGATGGCCCCTGAAGTTCAATAAATGAAAATAGAAAACGAGAGAGAGAATCATGTGACGGAAGCAATTAGTCTCGCGAATCTGGAACGTGAAGAACATGGTACAATAGAACAACGGGCGACTTTCTAAAAATGTGTAACAAACGTTTAAATCGACGTAAACGGACCGCCTCGTCCCAACACATCATATATATATATATATATATATATGTGGCTGTATTCTAAAGTCTATTAGAAAAACCTCCTAATTGAACTATAAGTGAGCATGATGACGCTTACTAAGAAAATATCATGAAATCATGTAATCAATGTCGTGAAAATAATCGAGATATTAAGGAGTGTGTATTGTCAATTTAGATTGTTCCTCCGATTTACAGATACGCATTTCACGTATAAATAAACAAGAAGCAAATGCAGTGCTCACGTAAAAATGAACGGACCTATGCACTGCAATACGTTGGTCGTATATCAATACCCCCTATATGTATGTACCTGTGTGATGGGGTGAACTGTCTTCGGCAGACGATGATGCAGACGAAACGGCGCTCGTGTTGAGGATCGTACTAGTAGGTGAAACGAATTCCGGCTGAGGGGCGTTGTCAACGCTAAGACTGGTACGGAGGGGCAGCTTCCGCTTCAACGAGGTCATGTGCAGCGTCGGAGCAGAACAATCTAACACTTTATTGCCAACTAGCCCGTCGTTGTCGTCGTGCACATACAATGATGCGGAGGCATAGCCACACAGACAACCATAGAGAATCGAAGATACATCCACGGCCCGACATACAATACGCAACAGAATTTAGTTAGTAGAACAAACCACTATCTATCTTCTATTGTACATACATATATATATACCTATAGTTTAACGTTAAGTGCCGTACTGCCCATCGTGGCCAGTGACGATCATTCCATTATGTTAAATCAGCCAATGAACCATTCGGAGCAACGACAGTGTCATCGTTGATGCTATCATGCCGACCTGCAAATTTTGCAGCGTCGTATGCGTACCGATACACATACAAAAATCCTTTTAGGAATTGCCCTCAGCTCTTGTTACATATTGGAAACGCGTGTTCGCTTACACGAGTGCAACTGTTTATTACTAAGGAGAACGCTTCGGTTTGTTGGTTTGTATAGTAATACCTATACCTTTCATCACTTTGGAATATACTTAGCGTATTCTATGAAGGGGCACGGATCGAGCCCACTGAAGAACAAACAATAATGTCCCCAACGGATTTCCTTACGCTATACAGTGTTGACCATGTAAAAAAGGATACGCTGACGGCGGACGCGATGCGAAATAAAAATTAGCGTGTTCTTTGTCTATAGAACAACGAACATATCAATGCATCGCTGAGAAAAACAACCCAGCTGTGCTACTGCTGAGTATTACGACGTTGACGACGACCATAAAAAGTGCCTGACAGTAGATAACGCAACAGCGAATAGGGCACGAGCGTAAAAGCGAACTAACTACTATTATGACTGGCTACGCGAGTGATGACAATGCGGGTCGCAGCAAAAGGGTAAACGATACAAATGTGAAGAGGCGTTGGTTGTCGCTGGGGGAAATGTGGGCATTGCCGTACATCAGCTCTTCTGACATGAGTCAGTCAGTCAGTCCAACTGATGCTGGTGAGCTGGCAGAAAACAATCATGCTTTTGTATCTAACCTGAATTACATAGGTTTTGACTTTAGTTCCTGTCTGAAGACTACTTTCAGTAGCAGATAATCATTTTGCTATCCGGTGCTTCGCCATTCAATGAATAAGATGGCTATATAACCGGTGACCATTGTAGTCACTACGTGAGTAATTGGTTTCAAATGTTTAGCATAAAATAGTGCCGCTTAAAGGACAACGTAAAGGACGACGACAACCTAGAGAAATCGTGCTCGATGTCTTTCTAATACATTGATACAAACTGTGAACAGTTAGGCGGACACGCGTTTATCATGGGGTTGTATGCTGACCGCCCGTTATCTCTTGTCACTGGTCTCGCGCTGCGGTCAATGGCAAATCGAAGCAGTAAAGAAATAAAGAATAGGAGAAAATCAAAAAAAAAAAGTCTCGTATTTTTATTTTAGTTTATGCTCCAAATTTTGTCGGGCTACTGTGATTAGAGTGTGGTTTAGCAGACCGTATAGGCAAGCAAGTATATACAAAACGTGCATGAACGTATCACTTGTTTTTGGTAAGTATCGATAAAAATACATTTCGTCAGGCTGAAAATCAATATAGATGTAATTCCTCTTAGTCGGGCTAAGCTGATCATATTAACCATTTTGGATTTTTAGTGCAACTTACAAGCTGACGATAAGTCTTCTAAAAGTATTGTCTTTTATATCCAGTTTGTGTTACATATTTATATTGTTTGCTACTGTTTACAAGATCCATCTAATTAGACGCGGGATTGTTGAGGCCAATATGTAGAGGTTTTAGGTCTAGAGACAAGGGTACAGCTGGGCCTAACGACAGTTGCGGAAATGTTTGCCCAGCCAGATTGTGTACGGTAAAATCATTTGTTCCTGGCGAGCAAAAGATTCGACTTTATTACAATTTTCCTCTTGCTACTTATTCGGTTTTTTTTTTCTACAAACGTTCTGAATCAACACAGTGGCTTTTGGCATCTGCATCTATGGCTCTTTTTACTCCTCGTACAATGGACACCATCCCATAGCTTTCGATGTTGGGTAGATAGGCGTCCACACGTGTCTGCAACACGTGTTGTCCTAGACCTCCAACCTAACACAATGGTTTCCTTCAGCACCAGGCGACGCTGCTGAATTCGGTTGTTGCAAAAAAATTGTATCTAATTGTTTTTCGCTTTTATGTTCTAGTTGTTTTCGTTGTTGATGATTTTCATGAACATTCTCCAATGTCGTACCGATCTCTGTAGGACTGAGGGACCTTCGACGAGCCTGCCACGGGGCTTCGACCGAAGTGGAAGCGGTGGTAGCCATGGAGGTTGGAGATCCAATAGCCGTGATAAGAAGACCGTTTGATGGTATTATTGACGATTTTACGGTGCCTGATCTGCCAGTGCTGCCAATTTCCGACCAACCTGCTCCGATGCCGTTCGTGCTGCTTGGATTAACATTATTGGCTGTCTGCGAGGATAACGCTACCTGTGGGTCGCTTGTCTGAGAGTCGACCGCTGGACGGTGTTGCCCCTGGCGATTAAGGTTGTCCTTGATGACCGAAGCCGACGCCAAGCTGTCAGAGAAAGCAGAAGAAGCTCGGTCCTCTCCACCAGATGCCGATGCTTCACGCTGATCGTCTCTGTCCATCGCGTGCACAAGCGTAAATTTACATTTGGTTAATCAGGTAATTATTTTGTATTTTCGAATAAAAATAGCTGATATAATCTTTGAAAGGGCAAACATTTCGAATCGATTCAAACTTATCTATATATATATATATATATATAACCAACATCAGGTGAAGTTATAATAGATTTGCCTAGTAGATGAGGCTTTTCCTACGATATTAAAGTTTTTTTCATATTCCGATATGACGAATTTCATATGCCTTTGAAATGATTGTCTTCTGTGGCTTTTAACGCAGAGTATTTGTATGAATACTGCTGATGCGAGCTTATTGATAACTCTTTCAGGACTTATGAGTACCTAATATTAAGCATGATGTACTTGTCAGGCACGAGCCCTTGCCTGCCCCGAAGAGAACCTCTCCACCAATCGGCTGATAATTGCTGGGTCAGTCGGAGCACCTCGCCTCGTCGAAACGACAATTCGCGTTCATGACGGGCCTGAAAGTCGTACTGAGCTATTGCTTCGAGGGAATCCTCCTCTGGAATGACACAGATGACAAGAATGTGGCTTTCGATGAGTGTTTTCAATTTTTATGACAGGTAAGTTCAATATATTGGCTCTAAGTTGAAAGCGAAAGAAGTGTGTTACAATGATCAGCTTGGAAACTTTATAACACCAGAAAAAAAAAAACAAAAAAGAAACCGTTATTATTCAAGGGCAGTGCGTCGCGCAACAGCTTCCAGTACAGAAATATTTACTGCAGGTAGCATTATTCATGCAACTACTATCAAATGTCAACCCAAAACAGTGCTTACTTCCGAAAAGATTTAGTGAGATCTCCGCTTCGTCGTTGACTAGATCACCTAAAAACAGTTTATGGCGAATGATGTTAGAATTACATGCTACACTAACTGAGCCTGTTAACAGGCCCCTGACACACGTCCCACATGCCCAAGACAAATTACCTAAAATGACTAATTAATTACCTATTTCAATGAGTAGTAACGTTTAGTAGTACGATAAGGATTCGGAATACGCTTGTTGGCCCCCTAGATTACTGAGATCTGCTGAAACCGCACAGCGACGACATGCACGTTCGACAAGTTGATCCGGCTCAATCTTACTTATCAAGCTACTTAAAATGTTTGCCTTACGAGGGATTTCTTTGTTTCGATCAACTGCAGAAGGTACATATAGATGCGTCTATAGTACCGGGGCAGAATTTCGAACGAAACAAAAAGGAAGAGATATGTGTTTCAGTACCATCGCTAGCATTGTTGCTATTGCTTCCGCTAGCCCCGTCTGCACTGGCACTTCGACGATGCGCTGCTACTTGGTCGCCTCGCGTTGAGGCGCAAGATTCGTCGAGAAGTTCCTCATCGGTGAGCAGTGTAGATATATTGTGAGCGGACACATCTGAAGGCGAGGCGTCAAACGAGTCCAGCTCTTCCGGCGGTCCCTCGACACCTTCAGCAGGGGTGATATATTTTTCGTAAATTACCGCGCCCGACTCCACAACGGACGTTGGGAAGATTTCGTCCTGGCGTAACGTCGCACACGGACACATCAATGAAGTATATAAACCGTTAGAAGCATCGCTAATAACAATATGGTTTAGACCTTCACATTCTTTGTTATATGTATAAATCGGTTTTAACTTGTTCACTTTTTTAGGTGATTATGACAGAACTGAAAACTTATACAACTTATTCACAAAATGCTTATTCTAGAAAAACTAACTGCTTTAATTAAAAAATATGAATTAAAAATTATATCCATTCATATATATATATAGCTGGGTATAATTTTTATAATATATATATATACAGGAAATTGAAAGCTGCAAGCGATAAACACCTGATGTACTATCAGACCCTTGACGAGTTCGTTGACGAGTGGTTGAACCTGAACAGGGTTTTTGTCCTCGGGTATTGGTAATAACGTTGGGCCGAAACATATCGCCAGATTCCACGGGCACATCATATTTTCGTCGGATAGCTCCGATAGGCTACAATTTAGTTTATAATTGCACGCCATTAAATTTCAATATACTATAGGATATAGTATTTTCTACTATACTCTCCAAGATTGCGGCAGCTTCAAAAAGCTGTGCCAGCTGAATCAACAAATACTAATAAAAAACAAATACTAAATTAAAAAAACTAGATAAATAGATAGATTCGCAATAAGGTAGTTGTTATCCTGACTGTGATTGTTTGTTGATCAACGCCGAGTACACAACACGCCTACAAACTTACTGATTAAGAAAGGCAAATAGATATCGCAAAACGGCAAAGTGAGGTCGAGGCAGGTTCCGCACGACGTCCTTTGCACGAGACACAAATTCCGCTTCCTTCTTCGAGCTCAGCTCTGCAATGAGATCAAGATCGTAATTGGGCCGTCAAATAACGTTCTAATTAATCAGGATCAACCTCCAACAGGAACAACAAGTATGATTATATACGAAAGCGTCTACACAATTAGTATGTTCTACTAATTAATTGTCGAATAAATAAACACCTACTGTGCGGGGTGTTCAATCAGAGAAAACGATAAATGTAAATGATATCAAACTAAATTAAGAAATGTATCTTTTTCTTGGAGGCTGGCTAGACGCTCTCCATAAGACCCATGTCGCTATTTTCACAGTTACCTCTTATCGACAAAAACTGGCTACTCACGGCTTATTTCCATGAGCTGATCAAAGTAGAAGATGGGAAATAGCGGCTCGCGGAGTTCCCGCAAGTAGAGCTTGAGTACCCCAGCGACAGAGTTGATATCCGAAGAATCGGACACGTCTGCCAAAGGGTCCTCGCCCCGTTCGAATGCTTCTCGGAAGTTGTTGATCTCGACCTGTGATCCCGATACTCGAAATACCCCTTGGTGATGTAATCCAAAGAGGTTAATTACCCGAATGCATGAACGGACGATCAATGGCACTTCTTGACCCGTGGCCTCTGCGTACTCCTCGAGACTTCCACCGAATAGCTTCGGTTGACCGGTTACGGCCTGGCGACCGATTCGCTTACGGCGTGGCCTCTTCGGTGGTGCAGAAGATACAGTATTTCGACCACGCTCAAGTCCCGATGCGTTGTTCCGTGTCAACGCCGCTTCCATCGAGTCAAACCTGGCTTGTAGTCGCGTGATGACTGAACACTGCATCGAGTATTCTCGAAATTTCTCCAAATAGAAGTCTTCAGTCTCGTGCTTGTCCGCCCTTAGCTTAATGGCAGCTGTCTCGGGCGGCTTCGGAATGAGGCTGGCACCATTAAGTGGGGAACCCGACTTAAAGTCAAGTGAATGCCCACCGACAGATGACGGTACAGCCGAGTTGAGGATCGATACTTGTGGTAGATCCGACTCCGAATCGAAATGAGGCGATACATCGTAGTCGCGTGACTCAATCATATCCATTAATGTTTTCTCGGCTGTCTCTAGAGTCTTCCAGACTTCTTCATTTTCGATTTTCAGATCACCTAAGCGTTTTTGTAGCAGCTTAAATCGTTGATCCATATCTTCGAAGATGGCGTCCTCTACCTGTACAGTCACTTTTTCAACTGAGTTAGCGGCACCCGCAGCGCCATTAAGGTTAGACGCGGAAGAGGCAACGTCGCCTTTATGGGCTTGAAATGAAAATTTGTTCGGTGCCATAAAAGCAGCATTGTTACTTTCAAGGAATTTTTGTTTATCGGCTCGTGAATCGAGACATTCGAGGCATTTTTTCATGGCGTCTTGACTTCCTTTGAGCGACTTTTGGAGAGAATCGAGCGTTGAATTATACATGAGCAAACTTCTCGATAGACTCGTATGGAAACCAAAATCGACTGCATCAATGAGGTCGGAAAGATCGTCAACAAAGTACTTTTGTACACCGGCATTTGCCGCTACGACGCATAGGACGTAGTCGTTGCGGGCCTTGAGTGCCTTGATTCGCGCTTCCTCAGCCTTGTCCCATCGCTTTTGACGTTCCTTGCTTAGCAGCCGGTACCTTGTTGTTGGAGACGAATTGGAATTTTGCTATTTAAACTGTGTGAAAAGCTCACATTTTGTAAATACATAGTTGCAAAACACTAATAAAAGTGAATTTTCTAGACATACATAATAATAACCAACCAATCATAATTTAGGCTTACCTTCGTGATTTCGCTATCTTCTCCTTGGGTAAGCCCTGCTCTACTTTGGAGAGATTACCCTCAACGACCGCTAGTTTTGCGTGGGCCTGTTGCTCCATAGCGCGATACGTATGATACGTCTTCATCGTCTGTAGGATACCAAATGCGTTATGTACTGCTGCATTTTAGCGCAGAACACACTCAACGTACATTAGTAAGCTAAACGAACATGTTTTTTCTTAGAATATATAAGGAAGTTATGTTTTTTTTCGCTCCGCGAGAATTAAAAACATAGACCATTCATCTAAAGTGCTCCAACGGGGTTCACTAATAATTAGAGACTCTCTCAGTACACAGTTTCCAGATAGGGACCTTTTCAGTTCACTTTGCATAGAAATTTTGTTTTCTAAGCAAAATATGTAAACGATGTAATGTAGAACGGGATAATTTTAAGCTGCTATAAGTAATTACCTTGCTATGCACGCATGGCCGAAACACACCCTTCTCTACAGATCACAGTCTACATACGCAGTGGCACTACGATATGCAAATATGAGAGTACTCTTTCTCGATTATCGCAACGAAACTAAAATAGTCATCTGATTTTCGAGACGTTTTAAGGGTCGGGGCAAATCCTTCACGACGGCGTACCGCATGTGTGTACGTGTATCTAGTCGACGCGGCTAATTGACGCCACCTCAGATCGATCCTGAACCGCATTTATCGGAAAATGACAACTATAATACTGCGCAGCGTATGCAATCGATTTCAGCCAATTTCATTGTTGTCTTATTTCTAACCAAGGCCGACAAGAGAACAATACGCTTCGAATTGTGATGGCATTTCTAGAACCTGAAATGCGTACGGATCTGATCAAGACGCTGATGATAATAATGATACAGACGGCCGACAGCTCTTTCTGTCCTCATCTGCGATCCACTTTAACTAGTTTCGTTATTAGCAAATGCGCAAAATGGAATCCTAAATCTTAAAATTCTGAGCCAGGCCGATCTGTTCGGAGTCATTTTCGCTTAGCAGTCTAAGGGTCCGCGTAGAGGCAGCAGTGGCTGACTATGCGTACGGTTCGTCACTGCTTTGTCGGCTGCCTCCCAGCTCGTCGTCGTAGCTCAACGCTACGGCCCGGCAAATCCGTGGGCGGCAGCATCGCGCAAGCCAGACATCCAGCGAGCCGATACACTCTGAAGACCATGGAAGACTGGCGACTGTTTTCGCTTTTACTTAACCAGTCAGTCAGAAAACGTAACGACGCCAACAACAGGAGCAAGGGTTACAATGAACTAGCACCATCCTAGGCCGCTTCTGTATAAGCTGGCGTGTAGCATTAGCTGCCGCGGCTAAAATGTCCAGGACGACAGGATCAGTGAAGCACCGATTCTCTGTGATGTCTTCTTCTGTGAGTCTCTGCCAGCACGTTAATGGACGAAAACGTCGAAGTGGTTGTATTCATACCATTCAAATGTATAGTACCTTTTTTCGCCATAGGAAAGATTAGATATCCCGTTTGTAAGTACATTTAGGCAGCAGCCAGTTGACTAAATCGATATCTTTGTCTGTTATCGGAAGTAGCTGCGATATACGTAATGTAAGCGCGGACGTACAAACGTCAGTACTACAAGAAAGCAATCACAACGCATGAACAGAAATTGGTATGCGAAACGCCATCATCATCGGCGTAATGCACATACTGACTGAAGACAATTGTTGAGTTCACGCCGAAGTTGACTATATGGCCGTCGTTGGGCGTATTTCGGTTTAACTACACATAACTAGCAAACACACATTTAATCCATGGATGGCCGCCCATGTATATTTGCTATACGTTTGAACAGCTCAATTCACCTGTACTGCCATCGACGTACTTCAACGTATCCACCAAGTGTCGTTTTCAGTGAGAAGTAGGGCGGAAAAGGAAGAGAACAACCAGGAAGCCACAGTGGATGTCGATGCATTACCACGCTATATATGTATATACGCTACTTCTAACCTCTTGCTATTACTGAAATAGAGTCAAACGGGTGCATACGTATGATGTCTAACAACCTCAGAGTATATTTTATCTACTTATAATCCTTATAAGGGGGCTAACCACCATAATGGAAAGTTGCGCATGATCGAGGTAACTTTTGCGCGTTACAGTTAGTCCTGTAGACTTCAAGAGAGTGGTGCCTACTAGCGTCTTTGTAAATTGCATTTTAAAATAGACGTTATAATTCCATATATCCCACGAAACAATTGTGACATGTGTCTTAATTCCGACGCTTTGGTAACGAATTCACAAGGAACTTGTCGCAATACTATAAAACGACATCACACAATGGACATTTCTCTCAATTAGCAAGAGATTTGTAGATTTGGAATCGAATGGTATAGCGATGGAACTTCTACTTCCTGGCATGAGTTGACTTTGATTCACCACAAAAACAGACACGATTTTATATATATGTATGACATCACTCAGCTACCCAGAAGGTTGGCCCAGACGGCAGCCCAGCATTCCGAATCGGATACAACAGTCAACATTGCAATCGTAGAATAGTTTAATGCCCAAAACAAAAAAAATCTGCTTTTCAATAAGCGGAGAGCAGTTTACGCGTCATAGAAAAAGACAGGCGGGAAGACGATGTTAATAGCAATGCGGAAGCGCTGACTCACCGGCGGAGCCTGACGTCATCGCTATAGCCAGCGAGCTACTAGAAACAGTTAGTCAAAAATCATCAGATCATTTAGAATCTATTACAGATAGTTGGATACGTCACTCCGCTTCAAGGGCCTGAGGCTGCCACGCTCTTTTTATTATGATACCAATTGCTAAACAAACAAATTGTGTTAATCCAGTATACATCTTCGACATAACGGAGGGGCTACAGCGCATTATTGTATGTTTATAAAGCCATATTTGTGAAAGGAAGAGGTATGTGCAGGTCAAGGCCTGAGAACTAGATTTACATAGACCAGGGTCTCCGCCTCATTATACTGGTATAATAAATAATCAGGTCAACGTATTTTCAGTCCATCAAAACAACGAATGCCCACTAGGAGCATGAAATAAAACGTATCATTGTTCTCTTAGGTTTAATTACGCCTACATATCTCACGCGTTAGAACAGAAACATACCTACAAAGAGACGTATCTGAAAAGTCTTTTATTACCAGACTGCATAGGAACCTTGTTATTTACGGTGGGCTGCAAAATAGGACTAATTAGTACAGTACGCAACGGTTCTAGCGTCCTACGTTTACTAATAAGCCACTCGGAGGTCCATCTATAACAGCTTATATACAAGCTTTACTTGCTGATACGGCTAATATCGTGATTATTATTATTAACACTACATTAATGTTTTTGTCATCCTTCCTTTCGACGTAGGACAGAATACGGTCCAACCATAATCCAATGCTACTTTTACTATTATCCACCGTATTATATTCCTGTGACCTAGCACTATGCAAAGCCTCTCTTTCGTATCTCATAACCGTTATTTCGGTTCCGAGTTCAAACAGAGGATGCAAACAAGCAGTTCACTTGAGCGACAGCTGAAGACTGAACTGATGACGACAATGGCAACTGCCCGTGTCATAATAGCGGCCTCGTTGCCAATGGAAGACGTTACACATCGCTAAGCTGCCAAGGCGTCGGTGCACACGATGATGATGCTGATGATCCGTTCTTGCTAGGCCAATTTGAGCGAGGAGGAAAAGCTCCTTCATGTGAGTGAAGTACAATGATCTCGCCGGCATCCACGACGTGATCGTCGTATCACGTCGGATTTTCGCGCTTCCTTAAATTCCATTAGTCATTTCTCCTTCTGTCCATACCTAACTGTAGATGATGCGTGTGATCTTTGCTTGTTTGTTCGTTTTTTTTTCGAGTCGACTTTGTTGTTCATTTCCCTTGCCCAATCAGTGACAAAAGCCGATACAATATAGCACTGGCTAGCTTAGTGAACGGTAGCGGCGCTTCGTCTACATGGCGATCATCCAGAATACTGAAGTGTTCCTTTTCTTCGATGATGACTCTACAGACTGCTTAGCTACATGCGGCAAAGGGAAAGGTTACGTCCCGCAGCGTCTACGTGACGGTTGTTACAATACTAACAGTTGGGCTACTGTAATTAAGTAAAGTATACTAAATACGTTACTATATTCGGCCATTATAGCTATAATTTTAAATATTCAGACCTGTCTATATCATGCCTAGTGTGACGTTATAGAATTCGGGGCTGATGGACTCGCAAATCTAATAGCGCTACCTCTGGGCTGACGCTAAAGAATCTTATCCATATTTCAAGACACTTCAAGGGTTTAATAATAGGCATTGATCGATATTCGCATGTCCTTTGTAAGGTTGCGGTCGTTCTAAACTGAGATTTTCATTTTTGGCCCAGGAGTTGACTAATGACTGCCAATACAATTCCTGAAATGTCCGATTCCCACACGGAGTTAGCCAATATATAATAGGCAATGTTTAAAAAATAGGAAAAATCCAGCATTCACCAAGGAAATACGTGTAGTAAAATGAGAACCGTTTAATAAAGACTACTAAAGGACTACACGATCTGGTATTTTTAGATGAATGCCAACTGTCATTTGTTAGATAAATCGTCCTATGGACAGCCGTCGTGAAAGCTATTGGTATAAATACAAGCGTACCACTTGTAGTTAGTTATACACTTGATTGTTTATACATTCACGTATGTGTTTCCATCGAGAAAGGACGGCTGGTCATATCCTTGGCTTCATGTGCAGATGGATGTTGTGCTCAAATGAGCCTGACAACTGAATAATTGCGTGTCGGCGACGACTGTTACGCGGTGCGAGTTCCAGCCAATAACAATGCAATACGGTTCCGTTCGTTAAAATACATAGACAATGTATGCCCTCATTCAGTGTAAGTGAATGAACCGAGCGGCATTATCCGTCTTTCTGAATAATCATTTCAATATATATCTGTTGAACATTGAAGAGGTGCTTTTAAACATTTACTGCGCTCGAATTGTGTGTATGAAGCATATTTGCATACAATGTAGTCGAGTCGAAAATACGATTGCGTCAGACGCTCGAAGGGTGCCCTAAGCATCTCTGAACTGACCACCTATTGCAACGAATTACCCGATCTATGACTATTGCTCCGAGTGCTTATAGTATATAGATAGCATTGAACGAATACACAATCTGTGTAAAGAAATGACTACAATTTTACGGATAGGCTTGTAAGCACACTTCATACCGTGTGAAGTTCGTGGAGAATCTTTAAGAGTTCCTCATGCTCGTCGCAGCCGATATTCCTACATTTTCGGTAGACCCTACCGAGATCTTCTGCGACATGCTGAAGCTTCGACATCAACTGCTGTTGGTAGATCTCGGCCACCTGTACGACAAACATCGCTACCAAAATGAGTTACGCTGTAATTCGTACGCGTGATGCTTTTTTTTCTTTCTTTTAATACGTTAATGTTTCCATTTAACTTCTGTTGGCTTTTGTTGTTAGCTTGCGACAACAGTTGCTTTATTTGAGTTGGCCCTAGTGGCCCCCGCTTTCGTAGATTAATCCAAACAGATTCAACGGCTTAATTAACTGGATGAAGCTTTGTTTGCGGCTAGTTTGTCGTTTTTAGCTCCTTGAACGTTTCAACTTCACAGCGAATCGCTGAAACTCCTGGCTCGAAAGCCTACATCATTTTATCATGATTTTTAATGCGCACAGTCGGTCGTTTCGACAAAGCTACAAGTTAGATAAGGTTACTACATGAATTGTCCACAGACATCCTAAATCCTTACGCAACGTTGACGCTCAATTGAACTCATTAGGCCATTGTTATTGAAACTTAACACGACCACAACAGCATCGATCGCTATAATGGCGTATGTCATCTAATCTATATTGGAAGGTGTCCTCTAGCATTTTTCCTATAACAGCTATCGGACAGTTTTTCCCTGCATGTTTCCAGTAGAAAATGAACCGCGCACTTGATTCATGTTGAAACTGGCTCAATATTTAGGTTTTCGCTAACAATACAAATCGCCGTATCACAATAACGCTACCAGTGATACCAATGCAAGTCTGAGTTGAAATAAACAATCATTATCGTAGAGGTCGTTTTCCTATCTAGTGCGTTCTCGTAGGCCTCCATGCATGTTCGAGGCCTCTAGATACAATCGTTATTACCTTGGCGTGATCGGTACTTTGCTTTCGTGTAGTGCTTACAAGCTGTTGCCAACACTGATACGCTGAGAATAAGTGCCACTGCTCACGTCTGAAATTGCAAATGACAAAAAAAAAACCATCGCCATTACGAACAGTTAAAGCAGTAACAGAATTATGAGTAGAAACAAAATTGAACAGGGGACGCATTCAAAGGACAAGCGAGCTGGAGTGGTCTCAGTTCAACAACGACGGTCATAACAACATGCGAATAAAAAACAAACAAAACGGACCACTACGTGGTCCAGCGTGACTTGACACGCCCCTCTTGATTCTTCAGTAGCGTAAGCCTGAAAATGATTGTCGATATATGTACGTTTGCTAGTGATTATGATTGACGGTGACAGGCGATGGATACATAGACTTTATTATCCGCGCGTTTTCCATACAGAGGCATAAGCGGCCTCTAGTGGCAGTAACAGGAATAGCAAGCCAGAGAGAAACAGTTCCAGAATGCGGAATTGAAGGCAAGTGTAGCAAATAATATATAGAAAACTGTAGAAAAAATATTTACGATTCCACCGCTGTTAACCTAATTGTTTATAGAGACCTGTATCTCAGACGACTGCACAGCATATTGAATGTCTCTGGCAGATCTAGTGGAAACACGAACGCATAACATAACCCACACACTTTTACAGCTTGTTATCGCAAGGTACTTAATAAACAGACATGCAGCGCTCGAATGAAGAAATCTGCCAAAATGTCTGAGGCCTAGCTTGCAAGGCCAACATCAGTAGCAGCAAAAAAAAAGGCGGGCATCAAATACACTTTGAGCACTAGTACTAATAGTTATCAACGGCTCCCAGACAGTTATGCTACCCACTGTATTGCAGAGTTAGCCATTAAATTTCACAAAGCGCGCCATATAGTAACTGTTAAAAATGTCCATGTTCAACCAAATCGAAAATTCAGTTCGATAACTGGTAATGGGTCTGCTTGTCTGATAAGTTTACCACGTGGTAACCATTTATGTTAGAAAAACATTGATATTGTAACAATGAAAACATTAAATAACACAGTGTATGAAGGCATAGACTTTTCGAACAAATTTTTGCAATAAGTGGCGTAGCAGAAAATCATTTTTCT